TAACATGATCAGGAATACCTTTTAATATAGCTAAATTTCTGTAGCTACGTTATCCAATACTCCACGTATTGTAATGTCTAATACTTTGGTAATTATTCTTGTTAACGTATAGTAGCCACATAAGTTATCTATAATCAGGAATAAAATACTAAATATTTGTATCATAACCATCGCCACAGTAACAGATAATGAAAACGATGTAAGTTGCATAACCAGTATCAATCAGGTAAACAAAATTAATATTTACGCGAAAATGATATTATTATTGAAAATATACGGGCAAAAAACTGGACACAATCATTTGCTTGGAAGATGGAAAGCTTTACGAGAATTGGGATAGTCTGCTGATACATTATTACGAAATAAGCAGTAGTGGATTTATCGCTAGGCGCTAAAGGCGCGCGTCAAGAGCCCCCGATTCAGGGGGAGGGCCACACTCTAAATTAAAAATGTTCACATACATGTTTCATGCTGATGAATATTGTGATAATCAAATAAATACAGCCTCAACTAGCAGTAATGATCCAATCCGAAATCAAGCTGAAGTTGAAAATAGTCCAACTATTAACTATTCACAGGATAAACCTTTTATGGCCTGGTTTAATTACCGATAAAGTTATTGGTTATTACATAATAAATAAACCCCAATTAAAATGTGTCAAGATAGCAACAGAAGTTATTTTAGTAGTTTGCAAGAACAGCATTTTTATTGTCTAAAGTCGAAGGGTGTAAAAAAAAAACGTGGATGGTTTGTCTATAGCACTACAAGCTAACGTGTGTATTGTTTGTTGCGTTTGCAAATTATTACCAAATAAGAAAGTAATTACAGGTTTTTTGTGACTGGAAAAACGTATATAGTCAATTGATTAAGCGTGAAATATCTAAAGACCACATATCTACCACATGCAAATTTTTAAAGCGTTGTACTAATTTCGGTCGTATTGACTCTGAAATGACAAAACAATTAGACAGTGAAGAAAAATAGTAGCGTGAACTTTTGAAAGGCGTTGTAGCTACTGTAAAATTGTCTAAATTAGGATTAGGACTTGGCGACCGCGGCGAAAGTTTAAAAATTCAAACAGAAAAAGGTAATTATTTAAGTTATCTCGAGTATTGGCGATTTTTTAAATAATCATTTGGAACGCTATAATAATCGGAGTCAAGGAACTACAAGTATTTGTCACATCAGACTTGTGACGAGTTCATAAAATTAATGGCAAATCAGCTTCAGCTTAAATTCACAAGAAGTTAAAAATGCAACTTATTTTTCTATAATTATTGGTTGAAAACCGAACGTAAGTCATGTTCATCAACTTACTTTTATCATAAGATATATCGGGAAAGACGGGCAAGTCAAAGAAAGATTTGTTGGATTTATTTTTGTAAAATCTCACACTGTCGAAAATTTAAAGGAAGTTGTGCTAAGTACTTTGCAAGTATTAAATCTAGACATAAAAACTTTATAGAGGATAAACCTACTATCATGCTTCAATTATGGCTGGAATATATTCGAGACTTCAAGCAAGAACTAAAAAGCAAGCTGCATTAGCCTTATATCTTGTGCTAGCTATTCGTTAAATCTATTCAGCAATTAATCAACAGAATCATGTTCTGAAGCAGCATTACTTTTTAATTGTGAACAAAACTTATTTGTATCTTTCTCTACTTCTACACAAAGATGGAACATTCTTACGGATTGTCAAAAAAGTATGCAAATCAGATGATCTGTAAAAGCAGACGCTGTTTATGCTCTTTAAAACAATTTTTGCAACATCAAGGAAGCTCTTTTGAAAATTAGTCAAACTCCTGCACAAAAAATTAACACTAGAATAGAAGCTACTCCTTTAATTAAAATGTTTGACGATTATGAAACAAAAACTAATGATTTCATGTTGGTCCAAAATATTACAGCAAGTAAACGTGGTAAATCTACCATTACAAGACCTAAAGTTGAAAATTTTGAAGGGGAAAACACTATTATAATCATTGAAAGAATTCATCTTTGAACTAAGAAGTGATTTTGAATCAAATGAACATAAGCAATTTATCCATTGCTTTATAAAGAAAGAAGCAGGCAAAAAAAAAGTATTCTTTGATGAAAATAATAATAATGAAGCATTGTTAACAAAAATACTAATAATGAAGTATTGTTAACACGAAGATATCGATTCTTTGATGAAAATACTAACAATGAAGTATTGTTAACAGGAAGATATCGATTCATTTCTAGTGTTTTCTTTGTAATTTGTGATGGACTAGTTAACGAAATTAACAAAAGAATTGAAAGTTACAGTGATGTTATTAAACATTTGAAGATATTATTTGATTTTATATTAGATAAAAAAGAAAAACATGAATGTTTGAAAAATTTATCTAATTTATATACGAGTGATATAAAAACTGAGTCAATCAAAGAAGAAACAGCACGTTTTTTTTTAATTTTGCAAAAAAGAAAATGTTTGTTATCCGAGTGACACGTATAATTTACTATCGGATAGATGCATTTGGCACTTCCAAGTGAAACTGTGCTGAGAATTGTTAACTCTTCCTATTGGGAATGCTACGGGTGAAAGGTCATTTCATGTGTTAAAAAAAAAGTGAAGAACTATTTACGGAACACAATATCTCAAGATCGTTTATCTTCACTTTCACTTCTGGAAATTGATAACGAAGAATTAGAACATATGAATTACGAAGACATTATTGACTAGTTTGCAGCTTAAGAAGTCAAGAAAGTTTTGGTATGAGGTAGTTATTTGTTCTTTATTTGCGTGAGTTTATATTATTATATATATATATCTTATACAGTATTAGTTAGTAATTCACACCATTATGAACTATCTAAATGGTTATGTCAAGAGTAATGCTAGCGATAAGAGTCCAAACTTCAGGTTGCACTTAGAGCCCTAGAATAGCTAAATCCGCTACTGGAAATAACTCCAAGTTTGGAGCCAGTGAAACATTCTGGTAGGATTGAGGAAAATAAAATTGTATTACGAATTACAGGAGACTTTTATATGTAAAAGGCAATAAACAACCTATTAAATTCTTACATACTCAAAAATTGACTTGGAAGAAACGTCGTGTCACTAAAAGTAATTAACTTACATTTTAAATATTTTATCTTATTCAGAAAATATTCAACTTTCCTGGTCCAAACGATAGGCAACAATAAAATGTTTTGCAAATCTAATGTATTTATTGATAAGAAAAACTGCTTGCTCAGTGTGTTAGTTAGACAGTAATTGGAAATGGCATTAAACCCTGATAACAGTTTAAAAAGTTAATAATTAATTAGATTCAAATACAAATTTAAGTATCAAATTAACATCTTAAAATATATCTCACGAAAAACGATAAAAGTGGCCGTTTTCAACGTACACTTTTAAAATTGATTTTGACAAATGACGTTGCAAGATTAATTTATGCACTAGGTACATTATCAGAAGGTTTTATAAGCTATTAATACATAGTGTTATTCTAGCTTTGCTAATTCGTTGTATATGAATATGTAAATTATGAAGAGCCATGAAACATTAATTAATCATAGCATGTTGCAGTAACTTACTATTCCCGATTTCAACTCGCAAAGCAAATAGCTGGTAAACATCATTAGGTGCATGTTTCATATGCTGCTTATTCCGAAGGTTTTTATAATAGCACCAACTTTTTCATAAATAAAAACAACTAATGACTTCATATACAACTTGAGCAAAAGTGGTATATATTTAAAAGAATAAAAAAAACACCAAATAATAATTTAAGAAAATGTACAGAATTGTCTCTTGTGAATTCGTGTTTCACTTGACAAGTGGTTGTATGATTAAGGCATATGAACTTTTACTGCACTGAAAATAGTTAGTTACTGCATGATAAGTGACCCAAGTACTAGTTGTTTCTTGAGATGGACATGAATTAATTATATACAATAACAATAATGGACCGTTTTACTTCTTTGAAAACGTCTCACGGGGTAAATACTTCAAGATTACATTTTGCACAATTAACATTTTTTATTAATACCAGATTAACAACTGCTTAAACTAGAAGAAAAACGGACACATTGCATTAGGTTAAAACCGTGAAGACAAAATGTATAAATACAGTGTTAGAGCACAATTAAATAGTCTTCTATTATCTATATAATTAAGTATATCTTTGTTTACATATATAAATGTTTTTGTATATTATATGCTGTTATACAGACATGTATTCTTTTGCTTTATACCTTAGTTACTGTGTAGAGCACAAATGTACGTTTGTTAACTCCTCGGTGCTATATACTTCAGTTACTATGTAGAGTAAAAATGTACATTTGTTAACTCCTCGGAATGCTACATACTTTATTTACTGTATAGAGTACAAACGTATATTTGTTAACTCCTCAGGATGCTACATACTTTATTTACTGTATAGAGTACAAACGTATATTTGTTAACTCCTCGGATGCTACATACTTTATTTACTGTATAGAGTACAAACGTATATTTGTTAACTCCTCGGGATGCTACATACTTTATTTACTGTATAGAGTACAAACGTATATTTGTTAACTCCTCGGGATGCTACATACTTTATTTACTGTATAGAGTACAAACGTATATTTGTTAACTCCTCGGGATGCTACATACTTTATTTACTGTATAGAGTACAAACATATATTTGTTAACTCCTCAGGATGCTATTTCTTTACTTGTTGTCTGAATTACAAATTTATGTTTGTTAACTCCATGGGGTGCTTTCTACTTAGCTTGCTGCGTAGAGTATAAATGTATGTATATTAACTCCTCAGGATGCTATCTACTTTAATTGTTGTTTAATTAATAAAGTACAAATGTATATTTGTTAATTCCTCAGAATGCTATCTTCTTTAATTGTTGTGTAAAGTACAAATGTATGTTTAACTCATCAGAATTGCAATGTTTACTTGTAATCAATTTCATAGTATGAATCAACAAAACTTTTAATTAAAGTATTTTTATTGAATTTTACAAAATAAAACTGACTATATACATTAAACATTATGTTAACTCCCTAATCAATACAAATTTGTATTAAAAATCAACTACGTCTTCACAGAGAGCAGTTTTCATAACTGAAATATTACTATCATCAAACTATAGAATAAGCTATCATTATTTGATTTGCAACAAAATTTTAATAAACCTAAGAAAGCTTAGAAGTTCTTATAAACAAACTGTCTCCTGAGTTATTCTAGAATTACAACTCATATTATCACTCCTCAATCAAAGATTAAAATTCTCAAACTGTTCTCCAACTTATAACAGAGATGTAGTTCTATTACTCTTTTTTTTATTTTAATAGTAGACTGACTAACACACCTTTATTAAGTCAACTGTGCTTTGAAACAAATTTTAATCTTGCATATTGTAACAAATTTATCTTGATTTTTATCAGCAATTACTTTAAAGTAGCAAAGATAAAGACAACATCAAATCCTCACAATATTGGCTTGCAGTTACAGATGTCTCAAAAGAAACTGTTGTTTTTTTTACTACTAATGTTATGTGTCGTTTTAATCATCTTAAGCCAAGTATATAACTTCTTCAGCTGGTGATAAGTTTAACAATTATTCTAAATAAAACTTTTAAACATACAATTTAAAGTAACAAACTTTGAATCCCATGCAAAAGGGAGAAGAAAAAATAGTCTTATTTCCCAGTAGGTAATGTTAATCAACAAGAACCGTCAAAACATATGAAAAAAATTGAAAATCAAAATACATATATGGTATTTAAATTTTATACTTGGCAATAAAAAATAATTTGCTTAACAGTTCAAACACTTTTGGTATATTATGAAATACGTTTAAATACTTAACTACTTCTTTCAATACTTCAAAGTTTCTCTCACAGATTAAATTTCTAGGTATTTTTTTTAAATAAAAAAAATAAATTCTTCTAGTACACACTATCCACTACAGTATATCTTCCAAAGATAAAAACAAAAAATCTATATCCAAACTAAGCAGCTTCAATGGATCTTCCCTAGATGGAATAGCCACTTTTACAAATCTCAGAAGAATAATCAAACTTTCCCATCAATGTCATTTAATAATGATTCTGCAAGAGTTGTGGGGGTAACTTGACGTTGAAGGAAATCTACAAGATGAAAAAATAAAATTTTCTGAAAAAATAACTATTAATTAAATTACAATAAATAGAGGAGTTGTTTAAAAATAACTAAACAGACTAGTCACTCTATCTTCACCTTAAAATGAAAGTATTTTAATAAAAACCATATGTCATGATTCAAAATGAGTTATCTAAGCCTACAATTTTCTCATACTATGCTTTTTGAGTCTCTCAAATAATGATTTCTGTTTCCCCCAAAATATCTTTTTATGTTTCTAAACATCAACATATCCTGCTTTTCTGCAAAGGACAAAAAAAAGTTATGAAATTTTCAAATTCACACATATCACTTAAAAATCTGTATTTAATATAATTTAACAAATTAAAAAACTACAATATATTTACCAAATACTGTCTGCCTATATAAACTTTCAGAAACTTTACATAAGGAAATTTATTTCAAGAAAAATGAACTTGCTTTAATCATACAAAGGTATCTAGTTTGAAATTACTTAAGATACAGCTGCATTTTTTGGTGAAAACTTCTTTACTAACAGAAAGAAAGCTTGTTTGCTGAATAAGACATGTCCAAAATAACTTTATATACAACACAAAGGTACATTACACTAAAAATATCTTGGTATTTATATTCATTAAGAATTACTATATCACTGTGATTGAGCTGTTAGTTGATTTTTTTTAGCACAAAGCTCCAAAATGGGCAATCTGCCAACTTTCTGCTCACAGGAAATGGACTTTGGATTTTAATACTGTAAATCCAGAGTCCACTGTCTCACCAGAAACATCACTGTAACAAGGTGTTATACTGATGTAAGCATTGTTAAGATAAAACACTCTAATGTTATTTACCAATTCATTCATCTTGTCTCCATTGTTATGTCTACTTACTACAACAAAGTTTGACACTCATGTTACCAAACAGGTAATTATGAAAGTGAGAACAAAGTGCATCAGAACATGACTTTGATGAGTCTGAGAAAGACCCATCAAAAACAATATGATTATTAACTATGGCCTTAGAATATGTTGAATGTAAGTAAACCTATTACTTGTATATCAGTTGGGAGTTGTATAAACTATATAGGACTCAGAACTGTGAACTTTTGTCAAACCTTGAATCAATTCTCTTGGTGGTCTTGAGCCACCATGAGCCAATACTCCTCTCCTGTATCTTTCCCCTGCCGAAGAACTAAATGGATCATCCTTAAAATAAACCTGCCAGATACAAGAAGCAACAGCTCGAGACATGAGGTAGGCATAGTACTTTGCTCCATATCCAACGAGATGACCAAACCTTAGCTGCCATGCCTATGGATTCAAGTATAAAAATGTTAATTTTTTTATTGAAAACTTAAATGTACACCATTATCAATCCATGGTTTAGAAACAATCAAACTTTATTCAGAGTTTTATAAAAATAGGGTAAGATTTCAGGAATACTCACATTAATAAACATTATAAAATAAACTATGTACACAACTAATGGATGTCCTAAGTTTGACTGGTCTTAAAATATTGTCCCAACATTTAGTTTTATACGAATGAAAACAGTAGATGTCCATGGTTCTTTATAACTGCAATAGCTATTCAATAAGATGATATACACTAAAACGAAGAAGAAAAAATCATTTCATTAAAATATTTGCCTAGATAGCTTCTGTCACACAAAACATTTGTTAGTCTCAACTTCTATTGTTAGTGCCTATAATGCAAGACCAAGCCATCTCAAATTTTGTCAGAATGGCTCCTATGTACACTCAACTTGAAAACTATTCTCTCTCTAGAAGAAAAACCAGATGTACAATTAACTCCTTAAACCCGAGCAGATGCTGTCAGAGTCTGGCCAAAAAATCCCAATTTACCCATCTGACAGTAACAGTGTCTGATAATATTTTTGCCTCTTTGATGAAAACTAATCCAAACTATGTTTATTACCCACCTTTTATAATAAATAGATCAGAAATTTTATAAGGTATGGTGTTAATTATTAGGACATCTTGAAAAGAATTCTGGTAGAACATGCAAAATATTATGGGTTTAGAAAGTTAATAGTTGGGTAAAACAAACAGAACTCTTAAAAGGTCAGAATCAGTAAAATTAAAATGTTAATTTTACACTCACTGACTAAAACCAGTATATGCAAGTAGAAATCAAAGTAAAGGAAAAAAAAAAATCAGGTCAACTCCTTTAATCAAAAATGGCGACAATACTGGTGGTAAAAATCAGACATTAGAAAACAGTGATAAACTAGAAAACTAGCTTATAAATTTGAATCAAGCATACTTACATTCTGAACCGTGAACGAAATGGTGTTTAATTCTGGGTGACCATACAAGAGTTTTCACTAACTTATATGATATACGAGTTTAGAATATTATACTTCTAATTTTTTTCTTCACAAAAAAGAAGTTCCAGACTAACTTCTAGTCTAAATGACTTTTTTAAAACAATATCTAACACTACTCTGGATCCTCTAACTTACTACAGTTTTAGAAGCATGCCTTCACTATTCATATCTCTTGTACTACCAAAGTTTTCCCACTATTACTATATTCTGATCTTAAATACAGTTTTGTGGTCAGATAAAAAATATATGTAAATAAAATTCTTGTACATCCTAACAAAAAACCAAACTTTAGAAAGGAAACACTAAAACCAGTTTGTTTATACATGTACATACAATATACATCTCCTATATTGATAGGTGTGATTAACATGCAACAATAGAGCTATGATGAATTATTCATAATTTTCCTGTAGACATGCTTCTTTGAAATTCTATGCTACATCATCAAAAACTTTAAATTTTAGTTAAGGTAAAATGTGTTCATAAATAATCACAATATTATTAAAAGTTATATTTATTAAAGAACATCAAAGAAAGAAAACAGTACCTAACAGTTATATGCAATTGATCAGTCTTGCTTTCAGATCTATAAATATTTGATAAGAACAAATTACATAAATATGTGCATTAATTCTTTTAAGCAGCACAAAAGTCAAAACAAACAATTTCAACATTTGACGTAAAAACATCTATCACTGAAATTATAAAGATATTTCATGTTAAAGATGAAAAAAATATTATCATAAAAATCCATACATACTTTTGTAGATATTTTCATTTAAAATCAAAACTACCCTCAGCTTTTTAAAATTAGTACATTCATAATGGTGCCTATTGTAAGAACAGACATGACAAAAACCTTGAATTGTTCTTCTATTATGCTGGAACTTTCATGGGAAATGAATATTTTTTGCAAACTAGACAGCTGTCTCATTTACTATTACAGCAACCCACGACGTCCAGTGACCCCAGTAACTTTAATGACCAAGTTCTTTGGATGTTGTGTTCTAATTTTTAGTTTTTCATAAGTAAACAGATTTTTTCTCAAGATATTTCATCTGACAAGAGGTTTGATTAGCTGGTAGAGTTTAAGAGAGCAACCATTGGAATATCCTCCTTCCTGTGCAAATTTGATATTATTGATGCCAAATTGTGAAGGAGAATGCAGAATAAACCAATATCTGTATCTTATTAAAATAATTACACATTATATGATAATTAACTGACTATTACTAAACTTTTATAAGTGCACATACATACTTGGATGCATAAATATATAAAAATATTTTTCTGTGCTGTGAGCAACCTGTAAAATTTATTTTAGAGGTCCTGATCAAAAACAGATTTTTTTTCAAAATGTTCTTGCTTTGAATTACAAGAATACAGCATAAAAAGTTATTTTCTTACTTTTTCTCCATCCCCTACCAGTAAGGTTGACCTGACCTTATTATAGCAAGTGTATCAGGCTTTGGTTACTGATCATAAATAGTAAATACACACCCAGTATAGTCTACATGGCCACTTATAATGCTGACTTTACAATTAACAACAAAATGTATTGTTAGGAGCTTACTGCAACCTCATGTTATGCAAATAACACTTAGCTCTATACTTTTGAGAAATAAGGTTTAAAGCTAATACAGATTGCCCTATCTTACTCTTTGACCTGCAAACCTGAAGAGTTATTTTAGCACGAAGCTACAAAATTGGTTGCACTGTGTTCATACAGGATCTAGAGTTCAAATAAAATTGTATTAAAAATATCATGTTCTACTTTCTAATAATAAAATGAATTAGATGAGAACATAAATAAATGGTTTATTTCATTCACAAGATATATTTCTATAGCAATACAAACCATCTATATTTAAATGTAGCTTATTAAAATTGTCTTAAGTAAAGATTAAATAAAAGAAATGTTTTTTTTATAGCTGAATAGATACCTGCATTATTTTCTATTAAGTTTATTCTATAGACTGTTTGTGGTAGGGTCTCAAACCCAGAATGTTAGCATTATAATAACAAAATCTTACTTTTGAATGTTTACTATGGTTTTCTTACATTTTTTTTTTAAATATGTCATTTTCTAAAAATGTCTTTTTTTATTTAATATCAGTAGTAACTTTACTCTCTAACTTGAATTATATGTACGTTTAGCTGATATTTTTAACTGCATGTTCTTCAAGTTAACAAACTGTTCTAGTAATGTAAATCAAATATCCAAACATACTGACATATAATTTAATGCTCTGTAAAACTTGTCTTTTTTTTTATGTATATCCACCAATTAGATACATCAACTATAAATATTGACAGGCCAGATTTTACGGATTTCAAAATAGGAATCCCCCAACATTTTTATTTTCTGAGATAAATTTGTTTCACCCACAACAGAAGCTCTTCTCAACTCTTTGTGCTTTCGAAATTACTATTTACTCAAGCTTAGTTGACAGTAAGTACATGTTTATAACCAACAGAAAGGCCATTTTGTGAACTGTGTAATTTTGACGACATCACACTAATTTATTTCAGCAAAATGTACCACTTCTGAAGAAGACTTTATTAGTGTGCAAGAAGTAGTCTTAACAAAGTATTTTATGGAGTGCAAATACACCTATAAACAATGGTAAGTAGTAAATTTCTTGTTTATATGTATTTTTTTCTATTTATTGGGTATTTATTTAACAAAAGTAACTAAAATGTAAATATTAAACAGTTATCAGGATATACAAGAAAACTTAAATAATTCATTATCACATGATGAGGAACCTACAAGAGAGCATACATACTTAAACGTAGTGTGATGTAACTTGAAACTTTGTTTACCCTAAACTCTCTGTGCTCCTACTGAGTGATTTATTGCTTTTGCAGATATTTTAATAAAGTACTTTTTCCAACAACGTTGTCTATGAATTTTAGTGTGAGTGCAATGTGATTTTCAGGTTCATAATAAAAGTTAACATTTTTTTACACTGAAAATGTATTTCCTATAGGTACTTACCCTCACTTGCCCTCTAAGCAATGCTGAAAAAATGCTCATGCTTAAATCATCAGTCTACATACCCCACCAATTTTGTGCCACTACTGAACATGTACATAGCATGTGACTACTCTCCACCAATAGTACTGCACCATCTATATTGGCACATCTAGCTTCTTCTGCTATTCTGCTCAATCCTCACTTTGATAATTGGCAGGTTCTAAAGGAACAGCACCAGCAGTGGGGAGAAAGGGTGAGAGGTGTGTGAAAGAAGTTAAGTAGCTATTGGAAAGACATTTTCAGTGTAAGAAAATGTTAACTTCTGATACAGTCTTACGTCCTCTCACACAAAGCTTGAATCCTACATTGCAAAGGTGGAGGGGCTGATGTAGGTGTACAACAAAGTGGAAAACAACTGTTCAGAATTAATTGGGTACTGCACTACATCTGGAACAGGTATGTTCTTTGCCCTAGAAGCTGAAAATGAATCTGATATGGACAGAAAAAAAGGATGTGCACAAGTGCAATTTGTTCAGAGAGGTGCAATCCATGGTAAAATATAAACTGGATGAATGATGTGGATACCCAATCTCAACTGGACAGATGAGGTTTCATAATTCATCCTAGGCATTAGGAGGTTGAGGATCAAAACAGATAAAAACAAATATAGTGAAACATAAACCTAGTGGCTAGTAAATGTGGACTGTGTTACATATATACATCAATCCCAACCATAAGTAAACAGTCTCATACGTCAAGCAACTGGAATTACAAAAAGAAAGTTAGCAGTCAGCCAAAACCTGACAAACTCCCAAAACCACCATAGGAGCAAGAAATACAACAAACCAAACCCAGAATTCAGGGTCATGGTGTTGCCTCAACTCAACCGTAAGAACAGGACAATAGCTGTAACTGGTATTATGAGCAGAAATCATAACTCACCCAACTGTAAATCCAGGGAAAAGACATCCTGCATCTGGA